TAGGGTATCACTCACTATGCAGGCTGGGCTGGCCTTGTGCTCACTTTTGTAGTCCCCAGGCTGGTCTTGAACTCGAAAAAATCCTCCTGGCTCAATCCTGAGTGCTGGGATTACAGGTGTGCACCACCACTCCTGGTTCTGGACTGCACGGTGGGTGCCTGCATCTGGGGCCCAGACAGTGTGCCCAGGGAATGCAGGGCCGAGATGGCATGGCATGTGGGGCCAGGGATTGAACTTGGGTCCTTGTGCTTTCCAGGTAGGTGCTTATGCCTTTGAGCTGTCTCTCCGGCCCCTAAAAATATCTGAAAAGGGTTCTGTAGGTTTTGCCAGTAAGGTTTATGGTAAAGTGTGCATGAATGCATGTGTCCACACCCACCCACACCCACACCCACACTCACACCCAGGAAAAACTGTTTAGTGGGCCAGCATGACATTGGTACCTGAGATGCAAGAGTACAACTGTGAAGTGTTTCTAAAGATGCATCCACATTTGCTTGAAAACTAGGAAGAGCAAAGGAAGAAGAGCCCTTGCTGCCAGCAGCTTCTGTGGGGAGGCCTGAAGCCTGGAAGGCCCTGTGCTTATCCTCCGGCTGGTGGTTGTCTCAGGCCCTGCTGGGGGGACAGCACCAGGTCTTCAGCATGTCTTTGTCCCTGCTCCTGGCACAGAGCAGTCTGCAGAGGGAAAGGAAATATAAACTAGAAGTAGTCTTGTTAGAATCAGCATACAAATGTTCGTGAGGAATGAGGTCCGTGCGTGTGTGTGTGTGTGTGTGTGTGTACGTGTGCATACAGAGTAGAATACAGAGAGTATCACTGGGACCGGGGGTGCATATAGTAAGCATTTTTTTTTTTTAAAGAAATTCCAAGCAGACTTCTGGAAGACGTCTTTCCTAGGATTCTAGTTGGCAGTGTGAGCACAACCCCCCTGTGCACAGCTCCACCCAGCCTCACGTGGCCACCTCTCTCTCCCGCATGCAGGGCCTGCTCCCCAGGATATATAAGCCTCTCTTGGGCTCATGCAGAGCCAGCAGGCCCACCCGTGCAGACACCCACAGTGCAGCGGAGTTCCACCAAGAAAGCCTACCCCAGCCTCCATACCGAGGCCCTTCTGTGCACTTGCTCCAGCTGCAGGCCTAAGATGCCAGCTATCCAGCTGCTGCTGCTGGCCTGCTTGGCGTGGGGAGCAGGGGCCAGGGCAGCCCAGCTCCGCAAAGCCAATGATCGGAGTGGCCGGTGCCAGTACACCTTCACTGTGGCCAGCCCCAGTGAATCCAGTTGCCCTGAGCAGGACCAAGCCATGGCAGCCATCCAGGGCCTAGAGAGAGACAGTAGCACCCAGCGGGCAGAGCTGGAGTCTACCAAAGCCCGGCTCAGCTCCCTGGAGAGCCTCCTGCACCGGCTGAACTTGGACCAGGCTGCTGGGTCCCAGGAGACCCAGGAGGGGCCACAGAGGGACCTGGGTGCCCTGAGAAGGGACCGGGACCAGCTGCAGACCCAAGTGAGGGAGCTGGAAGTGGCCTACAGCAACCTCCTTCGGGACAAATTGGCACTGGAGGAAGAGAAGAGGCGACTGGGGCAGGAGAACACAGACCTGGCCAGAAGGCTGGAAAGTAGCAGCCAGGAGGCAGAGCAACTGCGAAGGGGCCAGTGTCTGCAGGTCCGGGTCCCCCCTGAGGAGATGCTGCCAGGCTCCAGGGAAGGTAAGAAATCGCAGGGAGGGTGATGACCTGTAACGGGTGCCCCAGCTTCCCTTTGTGCATGCCCCCCTCTGCCAGATCACACATCCAGCACAAGCCAGCTGAGTTGAAGACAGCCAAGCAAATGCTTTTACCTGTTTCTAGTAATTGAGCTCCAAAAGCCAGGTTGGTGAATGGTTCTTATGTCTTGTGCCCCACCATGGCAATGTTCTCATAATCACTAGCAAAAGAACCGAGAACCAGGTACCAGCTCCATGGTATGTGGTCAGTAGGAATCGGCCAACTGCCCTTTTTGGCAAACTACCATTTTTTGAATCTTTATTTCTGCCTTTTGGTACTAACATACGAAATATGGGATGATGATAGATCCATGAAAGAATAAATGATGGTGGATGGTTTTTATATCCTTCTTTGGCAAATAAAGAGGTAGTAACTCTACTATTAGTTCTCTCAATATGTTGTTTTAAAAACTGTCTTCTTGGTCAGTAGAAGAACCTTTACTTTTAAGTCCTGAGACAAGTTTAATTGGTGGTTTTCTGTGCATCCCGGCCCTCACTTGTTGAAGATGCTTGTGTGTTTTAGGGACAGGCACACCCTTCTAATAGCTGAGAGACACTATTTGCGTCACTTCTTTATGAAAGTTGTGTCCTCAAATATTCACTGGGTAGTAAGTTTTCTACTCATGAAAAAATGATGGTGGTACAGCTAGCCTGCATTCTTCAACACCATGAAAGAAAGAAAAAGAACCAAGGGAGGAGACTGGAGATTAATTGGGTCAAAGGAGAGGAAGGGATATGGTGTGAAATGAAGTGTGCTTTCCTTGGTCCCCTCCTCTGTGGAGAGGGGGAAAGTACAAGGGATTGGGCAGGGTAACTGATGAATCTGAGCACAGGCTGTTTGTCGAATTGTCTTGCCATCTGCAGGTTCCAGTTTTGGGGGTGACATAATAGGATTATAGCTATGAAGAAGAATTACACTCAAGACTTTAAGGTTGAGATATCACCTTGTTTGCAGCTTGCTTAAAAATGGCTCAGGAAAGATTACACAGAGAGAAGAAAGGCAAAAAAAAAAAAAAAAAAAAAAAAAAAAAAAAAAAAAAGTAGCAAAATAGTAACAATGGTGAATCTAAGCAAATGGTAAGCAGGCTGTTTTCTTGGTAGTCTTTCACCTTTTCTATAGGTTTGAAAGTCGCCAAAATAATGTGATGGGGAAACCCCAACAAGCTTCTGACACAAAAGAGAAAATCCACATAGATGCGGGTGGGTGGACCTGGTTGTGGCCTGTGGCACCTCGTTTGACTCTGCTTCTGCTTCTGTTTCTTATTCCAACTTGACAAAGAAAAGTCTTGAAATGAGTAACGATTCTCATGGGTTTCAAATCAAATACTGTAAAGTGTAAGGGATTCTTTAAAACAAAAAATCCAACATGGCTAGAATTGGAAGGAACCCGATTCTGAGTTTTACAACTAAGGGAAGTGACCTCCTAGCATGCCGAGGGGTCCCAGCGTGCACAGCCACTCAGGTCGTGACTTGAACTCAAGTCTGTGAGGAGAAATGAATGACGGTTGTCACATTAGCATAATGAAGTATTAATTATTTGCGACTATTGACCGAATAAATTGACTTAACCAAAACTCTGTGTGGATATGTGCGGGGTGGATGTTTAGGGACATAGAGGCAATTTTTAAAAACTGTCTCACAGTCGTTTGGACACATCTTTGGGAATTCATCAGAGGTGCTATCTGCGTGCTGCTTTGTGGCCCTTCTGGCTGCTCTACTTTTGAAACAGGGAGCTGTCTTATTATAATGAATTCCAAACCTGGAAGTTCTTTGCTAGTAGTGGATCATCTTCAAAAAGGAAATCACAGGGCCAGGGAGGTGGCTCAGTAGAATAAGCGCTGCCCTGGTAAGCACAAGGACCTGAGTTCAATCCCCGGTTCCCGGGGGGGGGGGGGAAGTACCAAGTGCTAAAGTGTCGGGGCTTGGAGCAGCAAGGGTTAAAAATAAGGCTCTGAAGCTGGGATTTTCCTTATCCTAGCTATAGTGAAATTGCCACCACTACTTGATTATGTAGTTTTTACATTAAAAAAAAAAAAAAAAAAAAAAAAAAAAACCTCCCAGGGTCCAGGGAGATGGCTCAGTGGAATAAGCACTTGCCTGGCAAGCACAAGGCCCTGAGTTCAATCCCCGGTTCGGCCAAAAAAAATTAAAAAATTAAAAAACTCCCTAGAATTATAGAAATTACTGGTTTATAGATACATACAAGTATATACACATGACAGGAAATACGTCACTACACAGATACACACTTATGTGCGCAAGCCCGAAGTAGGAGAAAAATTCAATTTAGCCTAAAGATAAGTTACAGGTGGTTATTACTGTCCCAAGAAAAGCCCCACATCCTCCCTTTGCTCAGCCTTTCCTCTTGGTGGGTCCCCCAGAGAGCTGCGCCTGGGGTGAGGGCTTGTGTGAGGCGGTTTCAGTGGGCCAAGATCTCTAGGAGGAAAAACAGCAGATGGGGAAGTTACTAAGGGAAGGAATAAAAAAAGAGTCTCCTCTTAAAATTGGTCACCACTGTGGGCAATAAATTGCCATGCCACCCTTCAGAGGGATGTGTAGAATGTGACAGAAGAGGGGCACTTCATCCATAGAAGTCCTGAGGGCTATCCGGTCCTTGGAATGTATTGCTCACCCCTGTACCAGGCTCTGGTTGCTCTGCTGGTTCTTTCTGACTTCTTACTCAGAGCAACTGAGCAGCAGTTTCAGGGTAGGTAGGTGGCAGGCAGGGCAGGTAGCAGGTAGCAGCTGGGAGAACTCAGGCAGGATGGGGTGACCAGAGGTGTCTGACACAAGGCTGCAGATCTCTTGTCCCCCTGCAGGGTTGGATGCTGAGCCCTCAGGGTTATTCTGTAGACCACCTCAGTGCCTGATGGGGTGGCCGCCCCACCAATGGACTACAGCTACAAAGGCTTCTCTTGCTTGAGTTCCATCATTTTAAAGTGTCCTTCTGTGACCAAATGCCAAAATATATATAACACTGTTACAACATGCATTGATCTGATGGGTGGTGCTTGTTAGGACAACAGTCCACTAGCCGATCTTCCCTTTCTTAAGGCATTTGGAACAATCTGGAAACCTGGTGACACTCTCCAGGCTAGTTAATCTCTTCATTTAAATAAGGAGCTTTGCAAGCTGTGATAGCAAATATTTGCACAAGTCATTAACATGCTATTTGCATATGGATGAAGATGAGTCAATAATAATCAATTCTCTTTCTAGGTCAAGCTCTCTAGCTCTAGAATGTTCCTCTAGCAGAGGTTAGGGCAGAGCATGAAGAAAGAGTGCAAGAATTTTTAATAGACCTAAAAGGGCTGAATTTTAATTAAAAGGAATAAAGAAAGCTAGACATGGCAACCCAGGCCTGTCATGCCAGCTGTTCAGCAGGCAGAGGCAGGAGGGCGGCACATTTGATGCAAGCCCAGAAGGCTTAGTGAGACCCTGTCCAAAATTAAAAATACTTTATGAGCCTCTAAAGGCTTAGCTCAGTACTCCCTGAGTTTAATTCCTTTCAGAAAAAGTCCTAAAATCTTTAACTATCTGGTAAAATAATTAATATTTTCACAATCTCCGGTTTTCTTCCACATTCAAAATGAAATGTTAGATTTTGAAACATTCCAAAGGATTTTGAACTTTGACATCTCTCTCTTGGGAACCATACCACTCCTAGTTCAAGCAATTTTCAGAAAAACCTGATAACATTGATGCAACTCAAAATAATAGGGCTCAGAGAGGTTGGCCCACTTGCCCAAAGTCACACATCCCAGACGAAGCAGTACTGACCTAGGATGCTGCACCTTCTGGCTCATCCAGGCCCCCTCTCACAGATGTCTCCCTGGGTTTGGTCCTCAGGCCAGATGGCTCTCCTGAGAGTTCGTGTGTTGCCAGACGCTTCTGGCAGGCTGGAACAAGCAGCAGCCAATAGGCTCCCAAGCCAGTAGTCCCACTGCCAGCTGGGGCTGGCCCTGCAGCCACTCAGAAGCCTTTCCCTAACATTACGTTTTACTGTGGTTCTTGTTTACTCCACGGACATGTGTGGGGTGTGGATCCTGCAAAGAGCAAGGGAAGAGGGAGGGAGAGCTGAAGGGCTTCCTACTCCAAGTCTCAGGGGCCATAGTGGCACCAGGACAGAACTCACCCGTGGCTAGCTGTCTGTAGGCCACCTCTTCTGTGACAGTAAGCTGATGGGACGATTGGACCTTGGCTGCGGAGCTCGGAACTATGCTTCAGGGACAGCTCCCTGGGATCTGAGCTGAGCACTGGGAGTGGGTCAGAGTCGAGCAACTGCCCTGTCTCCAGGAACAGAGGCCGTGGACCACACAGTAGGTAAAGCCAGGGAAGTTTTATATAAAGACTAATCAACTCTGCTGAAAGAAACAGTAAGATATAAGTAAACTTTATGTGGCTCCCTCAGGCTAAAGCGCATGCAGGGTGGTCAACTTGGGGGTGGGGGCAGATCTCAGGGGGAAGACAGAGTTTGGCTGGCCAGACAGCAGAGATGGGGCAGTGCTGCAGCTGCAGTAGGACCCCTCCCAGTGCAGGCAGAGAGGCAGCCTGTGGCCTAGGCTTTGGGCATAGTGGAAGTGAGTGAGGAGATGGGCAGGCAGTCTGATGTCCTTGCTGAGGGCTCTGGCAAGTCTGCAGCCAGGATGAGGCTGCGGGTCACAGGGGAGACATGTTCCGGGTCAGTGGCTGGGTCAGGGCTCTGCTGGCCATCCTTCCCCACACACACACATACATAGATGGTCAGACCAGGCCAGGGAAACAGACTTCCCTTTTCCCCTGGAGTCACTCTGGGCGTCCTAGAATGACTGAGACAGTTTGACCCTGGACTCCCTTTAAAGGAGAAATATGCCTTGTTTTTCAGAGGCTCATGTGGACGTGATCTGCTCGGAGAGGTAATAGAGACATCTGTAATGGACACAGCTCCCCGCCACCGGGTAGAAGGGTGCACACCTACGCTGCACTTGAAAATCATGGGTCGTGGTCCAGCCCCACCACTTGCTGTGTGTTGTTTGTATCTGAAGTATTTCCCAGAAGGCTCATGTGTTCAGAGGCAGGGCTTTTGGAAGGTTTTTGGATCACAGGGGCTGTAACTTCACTAGGAAATTAATCTATGAATGGATGCATAATTATATTACATAACGGAAAATGCTGGTAACTCAGAAGGTGGGGCCAGGTCAGGGGAGTTCATCACAGGGTGTGACCTTGGTGACCACACGTTACGCCTGGCCTTTTCCTTGCCCTCCCCCTCCTTCTTGGCTGCTCTGAGGCAAGCAGCTCTGTTCGTCCCCATCATGTACCTCCACTCTGACCTTCTGCTCGCCACAGAGCCAGAGACAATGGCACTTGCAGCTGTGAACAGAAGCCTCTGAAGCTGCAGACCAAAATAAACCCTTGCTTTTCTGACTTGCTTTCCTCAGAAACTTTGTCACAGCAACAAAAAGCTAACACACTGTGGGACCTTGTGCATGTCACTTAGCCCTGGTGAACTCTGCCACCCTTCAAACATGTGGCTAACAGGGCTCACTTGCAACACTGAGGTGAGATAGAGGTCATGAGTAGCCAATGCCACACAGCACCAGGCTCACAGCAGTCAGTAAATGGAGATAATAGCTCAACTGCATTGGTTAAGTTGGCAGTCCTTACTGCATTTCTCTAAAACTTTGAAGGTATCAGATCATGTAATTATACTTGATCTTAGCCAAAAGGCCGAGAAGCGATAGATCATATAATTTATATAAAAATCCTTTTAAATGTGAAAGGAACCCTCCATGTCTGTGGATCACTTCATGTTCGCTCTCTCTCCCCATCTCCTTTCCTCATCCCCTCCCCCTCCGATATTTTTATAGTGCTTAGTATTTTAGTTAGCTTCAAAGATATCTTCTAAGTAAATAACTAGCTTTTTTATTATTTGTTTCTTTCCACTTCTTTCATTCTCTCTGTGGCTCAAGAAGGCATTTCTTAATTTTCTTCTCATTGAGTATCCCTACTTTTCTGGTTGTTCGTATTTGGTACAGGTTCTCACTACACAGCTTGGACGCCTAGTGTTTCTCCAGTTTTCAGCCTTCCCAGCCCAAGGATTACAGGCATGCATCACCACGCCTGGTCTCAGGTGGCCGATAGCATACTCAGGGGCAGAGCCAGCTGGGGATCAAACCCAGGTCCCTGTGATTACCTAAGTAGGCACTTAGTCCCCTGAGCTCTCACCGGCCCTCCCTACTTTTCTTAATGGACATATTTTTTTCTCAGTAAGTCATCAAAATACACTATCATCCTAGCTACAATCATAGAATAAAACAGCTTGTCAGGTCCCTGGCACCACATGCTGTGCTGGGTGTGCAGAGCCAGCCACCGAGCCCAGGCGTGTTGGTGCACGCCTGTAATCCCAGCTCTGGGGAGCTGAAACCAGGAGGAGCACAAAGAGTCCAAGCTATGTAGTGAGACCCTGTACCAAATACATAAATTAAAAAAACAAAAACAAAAATCAGCTTTTGCAGGTGCACAGAGCAAGGTGTGAGGTGAGGGGTAGGGGGGCTCGCAACATCCCCTCTGTGGCCACCAAGGCTCCAGGCTGAAGGCGGGGAGCTGGGGACAGTGGGCTTCAGGCTTTCTGACAGCTCCAGCACAGCACTTCTCTCGCTGCATTTGGCCTGAACCTGGCCTCTGATGCTGAGAGGCAGTGAGACAATGAAAGAAGGAGCATTAAATTGTCCTGGAGAGCTGTCGGCAATGGTCCGAGAAGAGGCACGATGAACGAAACATAACCAAACCAAACCCAGGAACCTGTTCCATGACCTGATTTTGAAAAATGACCCAGTACGGGCCTCGTAATCACTCAGAGTCCATAGTTTACAACTGGGTTCACTCGGTGTTGTACGTTCTATTGGTCTGGACAAATGCACAACGGCACACATCTACCACTCGAGAGTCACACAGCGTCATTGCATCGCCCTATAAATCCTCTGCGCTCCAGACATTTCCCGGTAACCACTAATCTTTCTACCTTCTCCAAAGTTTTGTCTCAAATCATGAGTGTGTGTGGTGCTGGGAGGCCTTGAGCCCAGGGCCTTCTGCATGCTAGGCTTCACTTTGCTGCTGTGCAAATGATGTTTGGTCTGTGGGCCTCATTATACTTGAGCAGTAATCAAAGCTACATTTAAAAATCAATCCTTTTCCTTGTAGCTATTGGCTCAGCCTTAGATTTAAGAACTGCTTTAAGCTCAGAATCCTATGCAAATAGGGGGTGTGGCGGGCGACTGAAGTGACTTCATGTCTAACCAGTGTCACACATCTTTCCTTTTCCACTACTCAGACTTCCCCCAAGTCCCATGGGAACCCTGTGCTCATTCTCTCTTCTGTATGGAAAGTGGGCCTTGAAATAAATCTGACCAAACATTTCCATACGAATGTAAAACTTAACATGTTACTAACAACATATTTCAAAATAGCTAGCAAGGATTTTGAATATTCCCAAAAAGAAAAATACAAACATCTAAGGCAGTAGATACATCAGTTACTGATTAGAGGTGGAGCTTTTGTGACAGTGTCTCATTAGGTAGTCCAGGATGGCCTCAAACTTATGACCCGCCTGCCTCAGTCTCCCAAATGCTGAGGTTGCAGGAGTGTGCACCATGCTTGCTGTACCCTGAGCTCATTGCTACACGCTGTATATTGCACTGAAAAGTCACAGTGCAGCCCGTCAGTCTATATAGCTAGTATGTGTCAATTGAAAATAATAATATACCTTGAAAATAAAAAAGTTTAATGTTACTTCTCATTTTCTATAATAAGAAAAAACCCTTAAGTCAAACAGCACGTTCTAATTGTTGAAATTTAGACATATAAGATGAGGCTAAGTCATATAAGATATGACTTAAGATCCCTGAAGTCGTATCTCGCCTACTCTTAAATCGACACATTGCTATTCAGTTTATTATTTACGAGATTTTAAACTACGGAATTTGTCAAACAGGCACAAAAATAGGAAAGAATGAACCCCAGTGTAGCGAGCACCCCAGCTTCAGTGGTAGTCAGCGCAGCTCGATCACACTTTTCTTCCCTTGCCCCATGCTAGCTGTGGTCACTGCCTGAAAGCAAATCTTAAACATCGTATTTTGGGAGCCTATTTCACTGCTACAGGGCCACTTCCTCACAGGGTCATTTCTTTTCACAGTGCAATTTTGTGTCTTTTTAATATAGTTTCTCAGTGGAATTTGGACACGATGGCCTTCCAGGAATTGAAGTCAGAGTTAACTGAAGTTCCTGCCTCTGGAATCTTGAAGGAGAGCCCATCCAACCATTCCAGGACTGTGGAGGGAGACAGTGGTATGGAGTTAGATTTCTTCCCTTTTGGGTCCAGTTGGTCTTTGTCTGGTATATTTAGTTCTGTGTCCCAAGTGGAGACAGCTTAAACAGAGTAGGGTGGAGTGACCTCGCTGGGAGCAGAGGCAGGGAAGGGCCTTCACTTTTGTCAGGGTGGCTTTGTGGGAAGCCTGCTTTTCACTGGAAAAGCCCTAGTTCCTCTCACCTACCCCTTGAAGGCTGAGATGGGCTACACAGGGGGAAGAGGAGAAAGGTGTTTATTGACCCACTTGAGGATTACAGTGAACTAAGGACAGCTGACAAATCAGGCTTTGGTAGTTCCTCCCTTCACGTCTTTGCCTTGGGACCAGATATAGAGCATGCACACTCTCAGCATGGTCTCTAGTTTTTTTGTTTTTGTTTTTGTTTTTTTTTTTTCTGGAACCAGGGATTGAACTCAGGCCCTTGTGCTTACCAGGGAAGCATTTTCTCTACTGAGCCATCTCCCCCAGCCCCCAGCATGGCCTCTTGCTGACAGTATTTTACCAAGCTTTGACCATGCAGGAAGAGTCCAGTTTTCTCCAGGGAAACCCAGGGTTTTCTTCTGGCGTACTGGTGCACACTGCAATCCTAGCATGGTGGCAGTGGAGTGTGGGCTGAGGCAAGTTTGAGCCCAGCCTGGACAACTTAGTGGGCCCTGTCTCAAAATTAAAATAAAGCTAGTATTGTAGCTCAGTGTGAAGGTCTTGGAGTCAATCCCCAGGTCTGAAAAAAGGAAAAACAAAAGAAATCTCTGGTTTCCAGAAACATCAACTGTCCGAAGTTTCATGTGTGTGTTTGGTACAGGGTCTCACTACGCAGCTCAAACTCATAGTGATCCTTCTGTTTTCAGCCTCCCCAGAGCTGGGTTTACAGGTGGGTGTCACCATGCTCGGTCTCTGTGGCCAGCTCAGTGTGCCCAGGGATGGGGCTGGCTCAGCATGTAGTGCCGGGGATCGAACCCTAGTCCCTGTGCTTGCCTAAATAGGTGCTTAGTCCACTGAGCTATCTTGCCAGCCCTTGCCCTTGTTCTTGTTATTGACAATGACTGCTCTCCCTAATGGGCATGCATGGGATGAGGGTTATGAAATACTTAACATATGATTTTCTGAGACATGAACAGGCAACAGTTCACCTTCTACAAGGACATTTTACTGCTTAAAACAGAGATTTAGGGGCCGTGGAGATAGCTCAGTAGAATAAGCACTTGCCTGGCAAGTGCAAGGACCTGAGTTCAATCCCTGATTCCACAAAAAAAAAAAAAAAAACACAGAGATTTAGTTTGATTTTGCTACATTCAAATTTTCAACCATTACTTCACTATATTTAAAAAATTATATTCTGGTTTTATTGAATTAAAATAATACATAAACTATGACCTATCCCCCCTTAGGACTTTAAAATTATTTATATAAAGATTCTTATAATGACCTGATTTTGTCTTTCTCTTTTAAATAACAAAATAAATAAGTCTTGAAAGTCAACATGTGATGGGGCCGGTGAGATAACTCAGCGGTCTAAAGTGCCTGCTTAGGTAAGCTTAGGCAGGTGCAGGGGCCTGTGGTTCCAACCCTGGCACCACATGCTGTGCCAGCCCTGCCCTCAGGGTGGGCTGAGCTGGCAAAAAAAAGTCAGCATGTGATTGGAAATAGTATTTAGGTAATACTTGGTCATAGATTTAAATTTTCTAATTTGAATATCTATCAGTTTATAATAAAATATATTTTAAATGGGTCTGGCAATAAAATTAATATAATTCCAAAAAAGAGGAAAGTCATCTAAGAAACACCCATGAGGGGCTGGCGAGATGGCTCAGTGGTCTAAAGCACCTACTTGGAACAAGCTTGGGAAAGCATAGGGACCGCGGTTCGATCCCCCAGCACCACATGCCAGCCAGACCCGCCCCCTGGTGGGCTAAGCTGGCCACACACACACACACACACACACACACAATAAATAAATAAATAATGTAAAAAAAAAATTAAAAAAAGAAACACCCATGAGTCCCTGCTGAGCTCATGTAGAATCTTATCAATTCAGGTGAAACCTTCAGGTGAGCCTATCTTTATAACTAGCACTGAACAGAAGTTCAGCTCCTATCACTGATCAGTCGTAGAACATTCAATGTGTTTTTCATCAATACCAAGCACTTCACATGTTTAATTACATCTAAAATTTACGGGGGCCTGGCCCTAGCTCAGTCCTTTCAGTGGCTGCTTCCACAAAGCTGTCAGCCTCAGGTTCCTGGAGTTCGAACCTCACAACTCTCCCGCTGGCCAAAAGTGCCCTGAAGGCATTCGAGGAAGGAAAAAAAAAAACCTTATTCCATTTATGGGGCTGATGAGATGGCTCAGTGGTCTAAAGCACCTACTTAGAACAAGCTTAGCAAAGCATCAGGGACCACGGTTCAATCCCCCAGCACCACATGCCAGCCAGCCCCGCCCCCTGGTGGACTGAGCTGGCCACACACACACACACACACACACACACATATAAATAAATAAAATTTTAAAAAAAATAAATAAAATAAAATAAAATTTACAAAAGGGCTACTACCCAAAACGCTATTACCCTTTTTGTTCGAGGGATTGGACTCAGGACCTGCTGCTTGGCAGGCAGATGCTTAGACTGCTGAGCTATCTCCCCAGCCCTGTTATCACCTTCACAAATGAGAAAACTGAGGCTTAGAGATAAATACCTTAATTGAAAGTCCTACAATTGGTAGGTGACTAGATTCAAACTCAGACAGACTGTCCCCTAGGGTCTTTATTTCTCTGCCCATTCTGTTTCTACCTTTCACTACATCTGGGGAAAGATCTTGGATCCATGTTGTTCGATTTTGTTCTCCAGGATGTGGACAGCTAGTTTGGGTAGGACAGCCTGTCACCCTGAGGACTGCTGAAACACTCACTGGCAAGTATGGAGTGTGGATGAGAGACCCCAAGCCCGTGCACCCCTACACCCGGGAGACCACATGGAGAATCGACACGGTTGGCGTAGACATCCGCCAGGTCTTTGAGTACAACCTTGTCAGTGACTTCATGCAGGGCTATCCTTCAAAGGTCCACGTGCTGCCGCGGCCACTGGAAAGCACTGGCGCCGTGGTGTACGCGGGGAGCCTCTATTTCCAGGGTGCTGAGTCCAGAACCGTGATTAGGTATCAGCTGAATACGGAGGCTGTGAAGACTATGAAGGAAATCCCTGGAGCTGGCTACCATGGACAGTTCCCATACTCTTGGGGTGGCTACACAGACATTGACTTGGCTGTAGATGAGACTGGCCTCTGGGTCATTTACAGCACTGAGGAGGCCAAAGGCGCCATTGTCCTCTCCCAGCTGAACCCAGAGAATCTGGAACTTGAACGAACCTGGGAGACTAACATCCGTAAGCAGTCAGTGGCCAATGCCTTTGTCATCTGTGGCACCTTGTACACCATCAGCAGCTACTCCTCAGCCGATGCCACTGTCAACTTTGCCTACAACACAGGCACAGGGAGCAGCAGGAGCCTGACAATCCCATTCAGGAACCACTACAAATACACTAGCATGGTTGACTACAACCCCTCAGAGAGGAAGCTGTTTGCTTGGGACAACTTCAACATGGTCACCTATGACATCAAGCTCTCCAAGCAGTGAGGAGTCTCCAGGCCTTACCAGCAAAGGCAAGAGGAGATGACGCCCAGGGTCCTGGAGCGGAGCAGCCTGAAGGGAGAGTTGGCCAGCCAGGCCCAACTGACTGCTTTCCAGCTTTCATTAATCTAAGAGGCTGCATGGCCACTTTCTGACTACACAAGACAACAGTCAGTAAGCTTAGACAATCTCGTATTATCATACTCTTTTCTTCTACCACCTTGTAAAAGACTATTTACCCAAAATAGTTCAAGTTTTCTGGCAACTCGGGACCTAGTAATTGCTTTATTAAATCCTTGCTCTTTCCTTCTGTGTGTTTCCTGTAAGCCATGATCAAAAGCAGCACTTCTAAAGGAAGAGGAAAAGCTCTCACCGCCATGATCGAACATGTGTGTGAGGTGTATTTGTTGCAATTGGCTGTATGATCCAGATGCAACTCAGCTGGGCATTATATAACCCTTAGCCCTATGAAATAAAATGATCTTACACATTACCTTCCTTGAATTTTGTGGGAATTTTTGGTTAAGAGCACAGATTCCAAGATCAGATAATTCCTTTGGGCTGGCATGTAGGATTATGTGACTGCAAGGTAGGGGTATGGGTCGAGGGAGAGAGGAAAGTGGAGAGGAAGGAGGAGGGGAAGAGGGTGGAGGGAGGAGGGAGAAGGGAGGAAGAAAAAGGGAAGAGGAGGGAGGGAGGGAGGGAAGAGGGAGGAGAGAGGAGGGAAGGAGGAGGAGGGAAGAGGGAGGAAGGAGGCTTGTGCCTGGCTTTGATGTCTTGCCAAGGATGACACCAGGAAAAACATGGAATCCATACTTTCTCCATCTCTTTATGCTCTTGTCCCTTCCAGAAAATTCTTTCCATCTCTTATTTTACTCTCGTTTTCCTTTTGTTCCTGTCTGTTGTCAAGAGTATTAATTTCATAAATAACTTCAAATGAACAAACCTTGTATCATTACTTTTTCCAATTAAAAAAATTGTGGTAAAACACAACAGAGGGCTGGTGAGATGGCTCAGTGGTCTAAAGCACCTACTTAGAACAAGCTTAGCAAAGCACAGGGACCACGTTCAATCCCCCAGCACCACATGCCAGCCAGCCCCGCCCCCCTGGTGGGCTGAGCTGGCCACACACACACACACACACACACACACACACACATAAATAAAATTTTAAAAAACCACAACAGAGTTTTAGCATTTAATAGCACAGATCAGTGGTGTCAAATACGTTTGTACTGTGCAACTCTCAGTACTATCTCCAGAACTTTCTTCCAGAACTTTCATAAAAAACAAACTCTGTTCCCATTAAATAACTTCTCATTCTTTCTCCAGTCCCCATAATATTACTTTCTAATAGCCAGAAAATGTTGTCAGCTCAGTCTGCTGCTCCCCGCCTGTCCCTAAGTTGACATCTATGCTTGAGATAAGAGTGAGGCTCTCTAGGACTGCAGGGAGGAAGCCAGGCAGTTTCTTACACCTGGCTCTCACCATCAGTCTGGACTCCAGCACTAGCTCCTGGGACCAGTGTCTCCCTAGCCAGGGCTACTTCTGGCATCCTACTCTGATATCCAGATTTTCTTACACTGGGGATTGAGCCCAGGACCTTCACACTAAGCTACATCTCCAGTCCTTTATTTGAGACAGGGTCTCACTAAGTTGCCCAAGCAAGACTCAAATTTTGATCCTCTTTTTGCTTTTCTCTAGCTTGCCCCCCAAACCCCTAAATAGGGACGAGTCAGGAGTGGGCCTGCTCGGTAGGAACAGAGGTCCCCTTTGCTGTTTAGCTGCTGCCCCCTGCTGGTACTGGCCCATTTCTCTGGCAGATCTGCCACTTAGATGAACAAACTGCAGGAAGCAAGCACCAAGCCCCAGGGCTTTCGAATGCCCAAATTATTCTGTTTGTGGAATCCTGATTGGAGCCTTCCAGAACCTAAGTGGTTTTATTCTGAGGGTTTTCACTTCCCCAAACTTGATTCCTTCTTATTATTCATGGGACCAGGGCTCAGCCCGTGAGAGCCAGCTCCTAAAAGCAGTCTGAGCTTTAAAGAATTCTCCTTTCGGGGCTGGTGAGTTGGCTCAGTGGTCTAACGCACCTAGCTTAGCAAAGCACAGGGACCACGTTCAATCCCCCAGCACCACATGCCAGCCAGTCCCGCCCCCTGGTGGGCTGAGCTGGCCACACACACACACACACACACACACACACAAATAAATAATTTTAAAAAAAAAATAAAGAATTCTCCTTTCCACAAGTTCTAAAGGCTATATGCTTCAGAGAGCAAAGCTGAGAATTTGACTTTCATTTCCACTGGCAATAAAACCTCTTTAAAGCGACACATCTAGTGAGTATGCAGGGAGAGGAAGACATCTCAGAGCCTCTCTCTACTGCGGTAGCAGTGTGCTTGGGGTCACCATAACAAGCGCCGAAGACTGGGTGGTGGAAAGAGCAGACATTTATTTCCTTGCATCTCCATAGGCTGAAGTCCAAGAGCAAGCGGATTTCTGAGCCTTCTCTCCTGGGCTTGCAGGGGTGTCTTTGTGTCGCCTCTTGCTCTTCCCTCCTTGTGCCTGCATCCTTGTCTCTACCTAAGGGCACGCACCACATTGGATTGAGGCTCACACTAACGGCTTCGGAGTTACCTCATTACAGGTCAAATCTCCAGAGACAGTCACGTTCTAAAGTA